AAGAGGACTCTTATTTTTATATGCATATATCAGTACTTCATTATTTTGTAAAAACTATTTTGCCCTCATAACCTTTAACTCAATGCTCTCAAACTCAATTCCTGGAGGGCCGCAGCTCTGCCTAGTTTAGCTCCAACCACCTCCAACTCACACCTGCTTAATAGTCTATAGTAGTCTTGAACACCTTGATTAGTTGGATCAGCTGTGTTTGATTAGTGTTGTAAACTGTGCAGAGCTGCGGCCCTCCAGGAATCCAGTTTGACACCAGCAGTGCATCCGAAAAGTATTGATGGCGCTTCACTTTTTCCACATAGTTTTATGTTACAGTCTCATTTCAAAATGGATTAAATTCATTGATTTCCTCAACATTCTACACACAATCCCCCATAATGACAATGTGGAAAAAGAGTTTTAGAAATTGTTGCAGATTTATTGAAATTAAAAAAGCTGAAGAATCACATGTACATCAGTATTCACAGTTTTGGCGTGAAGCTCTAAACTGAGCTCCGGTACATTCTGTTTCCACTGATCATTGGCACACCTGTCTTCGGAAATGTTTGCCCATTCCTCTTTGCAGGACCTCTCAAGCTCTATCAGGTTGGATGGGAAGCGACGGTGTTCAGCCATTTTCAGATCTCTCCAGAGCTGTTCAATAGGATTTAGGTCTGGGCTCTGGCTGGGCCACTCAAGAACATTCACCTAGCTGTTGTTGTGCCACTCCATTGATATGTTGGTGGTGTTCTTTGGGTCATTGTCCTGCTGGAAGATAAACCGTCGACACAGTCTGATGTCAAGAGCACTCTGAAGCAGGTTGTCAGGATGTCTCTGTACATCGCTGCATTCATCTTTCCCTCTATCCTGACTAGTCTTCCAGTTCCTGCTGCTGAAACACATCCCCACAGCATGATGCCAACACCACCATGCTTCACTGTAGGGATGCTGTTAGGCTGCTGATGAGCGCTGCCTGCTTTTCTCCAAACATAACGCCTGGCGTTCACTCCAAAGAGTTCAATTTGAGCAGAGAGTTTAGTTTCTGATGCTCTGAGAGTCCTTCAGATGCCTTTTGGCAAATTCCAGGTGGGGAGTGTCTTCCGTCTAGGCCGCTCTACCATACAGGCCTGATTGGTGGATTGCTGCACAGATGGTTGTCCTTCTGTAAGGTTCTCCTCTCTCCACAGAAGAACGCTGGAGCTCAGACAGAGTGACCATCGGGTTATTGATCACCTCCCTGACTAAAGCCCTTTTCCCCTGATCACTCAGCTTAGATGGCCGGCCAGCTCTAGGAAGAGTCCTGGTGGTTAATCATCTTCCACTTACGGATGATGGAGGCCGCTGTGCTCAATGGAACTTTCCGAGCAGCAGAAATGTTTCTGTAAGCTTCCCCAGCCTTGTGCCTCGGCAATCTTGTCTCGGAAGGCTACAGACAATTCCTTTGTCTTCATGCTTGGTTTGTGCTTTGACATGCATTGTCAACCCTGGGCCCTTATATAGACAGGTGTATGCCTTTTCAAATCATGTCCAATCAGCTGAATTGACCACAGGTGACTCTAATGAAGCTGCTGAAACATCTCCAGAAGGATCAGTGGAGACAGAATGTACCTGAGCTCAATGTAGAGCTTCACGGCAAAGGCTGAGAATACTGATGTACATGTGATTTTACAGTTTTTTATTTTTAATAAATTTGCAATAATTTTAAAAACTTTTTTCCACATTGTCATTATGGGGGATTGTGTGTAGAATGTTGAGGAAATCAATTCATTTTTGGAAAAAGACTGTAACAAACAAATGTGGAAAAAGTGAAGCGCTATCAACACTTTCCGGATGCACTGTGTATACATATATGCTTGTCTGATGTGTTTGGTGCATCTACTGGTGTTTGTCTAAACAGACTAAGGTAAGATTTTCAGCCACAGAATGAGTGCTTTGTTAATTCTGAAAATGATGATTAATATTTCTGCTAATTATTGTTTTATATTTAAATGTTTCTCAGTGGCTGTTTTAAAATCCATTTATTTTTTTTATTCTCTGTTAAATGTAGAAATGTTAGAAAACCAATAGTTTTATTCTTACGTTTCAGTTTTCATTCACTAAAATAATTTTTGATGGTTTTTCCCAGATACAGCTGGTGTCTGTTGCGGACGGGCCGAGTGATCAGGAGGAAGCGGCGAGGATGAGTGGGCAAGTGTTCAGGAAGACGCTGTACAGAATGATTAGCCGTGAACAGGAAGCAAGCGCATGGATGGAGGAACACTGTGAGCACACTAGCGAGGGAACATCTGCGCACTACAGTCTGATCCTGCGAGAGGACACAGGGAGACGCCCACTGATGCAGTGGCTCATTGGGGAGTGGGAGCTAGAGAGAGGGGGCGTGGCCTATGAGAGGTCAAGCACTCTGATTGGCCAGCCCACAAACGGCACTCTGGAGTGAACCGAGCTAAAGTCATTTCACTCGGCGACCATCTTTGAAGCACATCTCATCAGTATGCTCGGCTATTCTGTTTAAATGGGGAAACATCACATTCTCCAAAACTGTTTCCCAAGCTTATGATTACATTTCGTATTCGGAATCACCAATAAAATTAAACAACAGCTGTCTCTTTGGTTTCATTTCTAAATGTTTGAATCACTCAAAAGCTTCAGAAACTCACCTCTGGTCCAAGCCAGTGCTATATCAAACTGTAAAGACTGATTTATACTTCTGCGTCAAACGCCGGCGTATGCTACGCCGCTGACGCATAGCCCTTCGCCTTGGCCGTCGCTGTCGTGCACCTCTCAAAAATTGTAATTAAACGTCGCAACGACGCGTAGCGCAAGCTCTGTGATTGGTCGGCTTGGTAGCGCTAACGAGTCTGGACGGGACCGAGAGCCGCGTGAATGATTCGAGCCTGATGGAGCGATTGTTTACAAGTGTGGAGTCCCGTGAAGGAGCTCCGGATGAAGCCTGGTTTATACTTCTGCGTCAGGTGACAGGCGTAACTCATGGTGCATGCAACGCGTCTAGCTGTGCATTTATACTTCTGCGCGCTGTCTCTGTTGGTCTGCATTAACACTTCCAAAACGCTAGTTGGCAGTGAGGTGTAAATGTTCCTCTGTGTCGAGTTTCTTCACTGCTGTTTTGCTTTTCCTAAACACTTCCGGGATGTACAAGTGGCTCAAACTCGCTCATTTTGAGGCAGGAACCGGCGGACGTGCAACAACTTTAACTATGAGGTAAACACAAAACAAAACTTTCCATCCGGAGCTCCTTCACGGGACTCCACACTTGTAAACAATCGCTCCATCAGGCTCGCACCATTCACGTGGCTCTCGGTCCCGCCCAGACTCGTCAGCGATACCAAGCCGACCAATCACAGAGCTTGCGCTACGTATCGTTGCGACGTGTAGTTAAAGTTAGACTCATTTAATGGTAATAATAAATGTTTACTAAGCGCTGTAATACTTTCTAAAATCATGATTGCAATATATATATATATATATATATATATATATATATATATATATATATATATATATATATATATATATATATATATATATATATCAAAGAGCTTAGAATGGCCGAGGCGACACTTTAGTGTCATTTGGGAAACAGCCACTAGAGGGCAGCCATTTTGGAAAAAAAACTCCAATAGAACAACAGCATATTATGTCTGTAAAATAAACTATTAAAAGTGTTGATGATTGTGATAGCAAGTGTTGTATTGTTGTCTTTCAGGTTGTATCTCAGTTTTAATTAAATAAATAAATAAAAAACAAAGCAGCTGCTTGCCATCGCGACAGTAATGAGATCCAATGGACGGCCGATCGCTTTCCCTCCAAAATGGAGGAATCTGCTGCTGGGCGCTGCTGTTGCAATGGAACGTTCTATTGAGCGTGATGAACAAGATAGTGCGGGTATAAAACGACATAGGCGGTTATAAAAAAAAATTTGGGCGGTTTTGCAATGAAAAGTTGTAACTATTGGTTTATTACCCGTCTACTAATAACATGTGAACTGTTTATTAGCACTTATAAATTACGATCTTATTCTACATCCTTAATTCTCCCGAACACCTCAGCCCAGCAACCTCCTTAATATGAACATCAGCTAATTCAGTGGTTCTCAAACGTTTTTCATCAAGTACCCCCTCAGTAAAAAAAAATAGTCTCTCCAAGTACCACCAAAATGAGCAGTATTGTAATACAGTAGCGCAGTAGGCCCAGTAAAGCAGCTACAACTCTGCACAGTTAAAAAACGTGGCAGATTACATCAGAAATATAGGCTATATGACATATATGACATATTATATACATCATTTTTGATCTATTTTGAAATGTGTGTAGCATGTACATGACATATTTGATTCCTCCGCGTACCACTAGTGGTACACGTACCACAGTTTGAGAACCACTGAGCTAATTAGTATTGTTCTATAGTCTATTGTGCTAAAAATCTTAGTTAATATTTAGACTTTAGTCAAAATGAATTTGAATTCACCCATAAATTAATCAATTTCATTTTAATAATGTCACATTTATAGGAACTTTTACATCACCTATATATTTTCAAAGCCACTTTATTAGTATTAAATGGTCAATTAAGTGTAAATCAATTATAGACAAACCTAACTAGCCTATTAAGTGGCTCTACTTTTTCCTAATTCCACTTAGGTCTAAATGTAAATGTTGTTATCACTAACATTATTTAAGTAACAATTCCCACTGGTAACTACTAGCCAAATCCCAATCCTGCCCAACATCTAAACCCAACAACTTCTTAATATTAATAATCAGCTAATTAGTAGTCTATTGAGCTAAATGTCTGTTTTAATGCACAATTCATCCTATTGACAAAGCATCCATCTCCTATTTCTCAGACAGTTTTCATCTCACTGAATTAATTGTAAAGCTAAACACTGTTTGAATAAAGCAGCAAGACTCCCAGTGAGAAGACTGAAGTCAGGTTTATTGAAACGGTGTATGACAAACGTGGTCAGGTTATGAGTTTGGACAGTAAAGATTCAGACGGTGGAGAACTGTGGTAACTGGTTCCCGAGGATGGCCTGCCTCTCCACCCCCTGTTCAGAGATCACCGCCAGTCGGACCACTCCACCGCTGGAGCCGTCCCGCTCCATGGCCAGAGTCAGAGCTACACACAGAGACACAGACATATTAGAAAAGCACAGTGATGCTTATTAACCCTATTCTTTAAATGGACTCCCTTTTGGTTTTGTTGGTGCTGTTTGTACCCCACTGATTTCCCTGATAATCATATTTTACTGCAAAGCCATGGCAGCAAATAATCATGCATGAATTAGTCATTTTACTGTTGATCATCAGTTATCAGCATTAACCCTTTAGATTGGCCTGTGCTGAAGGGTTTCTGGCTTTCATACAGGGTAATACAGCAGACTATAGTGTACACACAAATTCATTTACTGTGTTTACCATATGTTCTGAGAGCTGAGCTGCTTATTTTGGTTTCCTCACACATATCAAGGTAATTGCGTAGAGGTCTCCCACGCACACATGCACGCACGCACACACACACAATACTCCATATAATAGTCAGAAACAAAGGTTGTTTGCACTGCAACTGATGACCAACAGTAATATTTACACACTTTACCTCTTCCCAACAGGGAAAACCAGCAACAGTCAAGAATGCATGATCATCTGCTGTCATGGCTTTGCAATCAGTAAATGTGATTACAATGGAAGTCAATGAGGCAAAACCAGCACCAACATAACCAAAAGAGAATAAATTTGCCCAAGAATTCATTGTGTTTTTAAAAAATGTCAGAAAGTTTCCCCAAAATCTGTCAAAATAAGATTCCTCAGCAAAAATCATCCCATTTGCTGAAACACAGAGAAACTTGTGGGCAAATAAAGACTCAAAATCAGGCCAGAGTGGATGAAGACGTCCCCAAGAGCACAAAAGAGGTAAAGACCACTCAAAATCAAAATGTACAGTGTTTATTTTGCGAACTGGCATTGTTAATCTTAAGGTGAGTAATTCATTTGTGCAAGTTAATCCACTTAAAATCTGTTAGTTTTAAGGCCGAGGTGTTTTTTTTACATGCATTTTTTATTTCTCTTTGCTATTTGGGCTTATTGGAACCTATTTAGAATAAAATATAAGTATTATCTAAGGGTGTCACGATCCTCCAAATCATCGATTCGATTACATTTTTGATTCTAAAGGCACGATTCGATTCGATTATGATTAATTAATTAATTAATGACCAATTAATCATTTGTATCCTACCGTTTAAACTACCTGACCTGCATGGTCTTTGTTTTACTCATAAACAAATCATACAGTAAATGAATAAAGGCAAGATACACACATAATCACCACCTGTCAATCACTTTTTCTGCGGGACTCGTGAATAGGCAGTGATCTGTGTCGTTATAATGGCGTCGGTAAAAAAGACGCACAACCAACAGAAACCAGCCAACAGTATCTGAGGCGTTCGCTAAAATGACCAAGTACAAGTGAGTGAAAGATTGAAGCAGTCCTCTGACTGCCTGGACCTGCTGTCTCGAGCGCATGGCTGTGTGTGCGTCTGTGTGTGTGTGGTCACGTGATGTGCATTTTCAGAGGTAGAGAGGAAGGAGGGCTGCTCAGAAATGCTACACGCCACTGTGGATGTCAAATCGTTGTCGTTTTAAAATGCCATTTAAAAACAAAGACAGTGTAAACAGGGCCTGAGTGTGTACTTTTCGCGAGCGGATTTGCAACGGGGGCGGGCGGAGGATCGCGATGCCGGTGTTACGTAATACGTACATAGCAGAGCTTGCAAAACTGTGGGTTTTTTTTGTCGACAACACGAACGTTGTCAACATAACTCACTGGAAATCCAAAATGCTTCCACACCGGCGACTTTCTGCAGTTTAACAAGCACTTCAACAAGCCTGTTTTTTTCCCGCCTGGCAAGCCTAGCTGACGTGACATGGGGGCGTGGCAGCGTCGACGATTCTATTTTTTGATTCGATAATCGAAATTGAGCATAAAATTCGATCGATTTCGATTAAAAACCTAAATCGTGACACCCCTAGTATCATCTTTTGATATGATGTCCTTTTAGAGAAAATTGATGTCCATATATGTGGACTCATGGTCCCAATATACATAAAACACTTTTTCCTGACTTCCTTGACTACACTCAAACAAATATCTTTTGTTACTTGTTCAAACTACTTAATTAAAATAAGCTGAAACAAAACAATTCTTGAGACTTCATTGGGACAACTTAATTTGTTTATGTTCAATCAACCTTAATTTGTTAAAAGTGTTAGCTTAATTGATTTGTGTTGGGACAACATGAATGAATTGTGTGGAACTCTGCATTACTGTGTATCAGAGATTAAAAACAAAATTCTTTGCCCAATTGGGACAGTTAAAGTAGTGTTTGGGACATTTCATATGCTGCAAAACAGTTGCAGGATGACACTGTGTCTGTAACTAAATATAAAACATTCAAAGTATTTTAGGGTGCTTTCACACCTACACTTTTGTTTCGGAACATATCTCGTTTGCCCAGTTAGTGCGGTTCAATTGGCATATGTGAACAGGGCAATCGCGCTCTGTTCCGCGCCAAAGTAATCGCTCCGAGATCGCTTGAATGAGGTGGTCTCGGCTCGATTGAAATGAACCCTGGAGCGGTTCGATTGCAGTGAGAAAGCGATCCGATCCGATCCGAGCGCGGTTATATCACAGTGTTTTATGCATATGTAATAGGCTTAAGGCTATATGAAGAGAGAATTATGAGTAGGGCGGGAAGTTTCGCGAGTCTCCGGATGCCCGCAAACGAGTGATGATCTCCCGGTAATCTTGCATCTCCCTCCCTCAAATAGGCATCGTCGCGCACCCTTCTCACCCCTCCCCACCGCATCTCTCCTCAGACATGTCGCGCGCGCACCCTGTCAAATCACCACCAAACCACCACCTCTCCTGACAGCTGAGCGGGACGCTGCAAAATAAACCCTGACACTCTGACCAATGTGAGGAGAGTTTACTTGCACGTGACTTGTTTTAGCTCTTTTGGTCCGTTTAGAAACTTTGCAGTGTGAAAGCGAACCACTCCAAGAGCAACAATGTAACAACTGTAATCTCTGTTTCGGAACAACTGAATCGATTCACAGGTGTGAAAGCAGCCTTAAATAGCCCCTTAAGAGCTAAAATGTGCTGTCCACGTATAGTCTACAGAACAAACCATCGTTATACAATAACTTACCTAATGATATCCTCGAAATGCTAATTTTGTCACTGTTTTGTAGCAAACTAGCTTTTCCTTAAAACTAACATACTGATACTAACATCTAGAAAACTATTTTTATTTAACAAGAGCTTTAAATACTGACTTAAATCCCATTTAATCATCATATGAGTCATAATCATTAGTAAATATGCCATCATTTATTTTGGAGTACGTTCAATTTTAGGATGGTTTCAACAGTTTTATAAATGAGACCCTGATTTGTGAAAGTGGAACTCATACTGAACGCATACTGTTCTGATCAGTGGAAATAAGGCACAACTTGTGTGTTTGTGTGTGTTTTGTTGGTCTGACCTCCTGCAGTGAATTTCAGACACTCTTCTTTGCTCATTCCGCTTCTGTAGTTTGAATCCACATATCCATAGATGTAGCTGCTGCCGGATCCACCGACCGACACCGGCTGCCTGGTCAACATCCCTCCCACTGGCACCGTGTACACCTGAACATACACACACACACACACACACACACACATACAGTTAAAGTCAGATTTATTAGCCCCCTTTAATTTTTTTTTCTTTTTTAAACATTTTCCCATGATGTTTAACAGAGCAAGGAAATGTTCACAGTATGTCTGATAATATTTTTTCTTCAGGAGAAAGTCTTATTTGTTTTATTTCGGCTAGAATAAAAGCAGTTTTTAATGTTTTAAAAACCTTTTTAAAGTTATTATTAGCCCCTTTAAGCTATATTTATTTTTGATAGTCTACAGAACAAACCATCATTATACAATAACTTGCCTAATTACCCTAACCTGCCTAGTTAACCTAATTAACCTAGTGAAGCCTTTAAATGTCACTTTAAGCTGTATAGAAGTGTCTTGAAGAATATCTAGTCTACTGTCATCATGACACAGAGAAAATAAATCAGTTATTAGAGATGAGTTATTAACAGTATTATGCTTAGAAATGTGTTGAAGAAATCTGCTCTCCGTTACACAGAAATTGGGGAAAAAAATAAACAGTGGGTATAATAATTGTAACTTCAACTGTATATATTTACACATACATGCATTTAGGGCATGCTCACACTAGGTACAGTTGCTGAAGCGCACTTGTCCCCGTCCCCCGCCCCTCTTCCCTGACGGCCTGCACTCACACTGCATCTTCACCTTCTGAACCAGAGCACACTTACATTATCGATGATGCGACTTCAGTTAAACAGAAGAGTCGCTCTCGCTCAGCACTGTGGACATTGCTTTAGTTCTATGGTTTTGTATTATTTTTGGTCATTTGTGATGCAGTGACACAGTCAAATCTTCTGCTGAACAGATTCAGCACTGTTGACGCTCATTTATGTTCATAAAGTCCTCGTGCTGCAGGTATTAGGAGGTTTGCTGAAGGTGCAGCTGTCCTGCAGTGATCTTTAATAAACGATGACAGTTCGAGTTCATTGAACAGTAAGAATGATTAATGAATCCATATTAACAGTCCCTTGAAAGTGACGTTGCGTCTTCAGTTTCAGGCTCAGGCACTCACACTGCAAGCGTATCGCACCAAAGCCCAACCGAACAGCGCTCTGGCACACCTCTTCCGACCATACCTGGGCCCGATTCAGACCCCTCACATTTATTGAACGAACCGACAAACACGCCTGGGGCATATTTTAGATAGCATAGTGCGAGCCAGTACCGTGCAGAGATTTTCCGAAAGGCATGTGCAGGGAAAAGACCGATTCTGGATGGGCACATGCTATCATTGACTATGTGTGCATGTGCCTGATATGAGCGCACCCATACAGACACACGCACATATACACTCATGCACATATATAAACAAACACACACGTGCACGTACACATACATACTCTCGCCCTTGCTCATTCAGATATACTCTTCCTGCTTAAGCCGTACCTGTCCTCCTCTTCGTCTGTCCCACCCGGCCACGATGATGCCGGCCATCAGCTCCTCCCTGTAGCGGTAACACATGTCCCGAAACAGACTGGCTGCGGTCTGGACCAGAGGAGCTTCATCCAGCTCAATGCTGAGAACACACAGAGACAGAGTCTACATCCACACCAAAACAACACCAGACGTCTCTACTGCGCTGATCATCTGACTGTGAACTGTGTGACTAGGTGTGTGTGTTGCACTGTACCTGTGGAAGCCCAGCTGATAGGTGACAGCGTCAGCGATGGCCTGTGTGTCGGCCGCTGAGCCAGAGCGGCAGCAGAAGATGCGGTCGTGGATTGGTGTGAGTTTATCAGTCACCCGGTTGGCGATATAAGCCCTGCACAGATCACATCAGCCATCTGTTACACACAAACACACTCATGAACACACTCAAACCCTCTAAGAATCCCTCTGCTGAACTCACCCAGTGGTGGTACGGGAGTCTGCGCCCATCACAACTCCACCGTCAAACTCCACCGCCATGATGGTGGTCTGAACACAAGACAACCACAGTTACAGCACTATTATGGAATATAAATGAATTACAAAACAAATAAATGATGATACTAAATGGGATTCTGTTTGAAATGATAAAAAAACAAATATTTAAAGAGTAATGGCAAAGAATAAAGATTTCAGGTGACAATTGAGTATTGTTAGGGCCAATTTTAAGGCTATTATTGCATCATCAAATTATCCTAGCTTAAAATATGAAAACTATTTGTGAAAATTGTTATAAATAATTTAGGTTTCCTAGTGGATTAAGTGGACCTTTTACGTGTGTGTAAATGTCATACTCCTAGGCCCGGTTTTTCAAAAGTAATCCACTAGGATTTTGGATAAGGGATTAGATCAAATCTTGAAAATAAGTTTTTCAAAAGAAAAAACAGATTACATAATCGGATTAGATCACGTAATCCAATCTTGGTTTTGATCTGGATCAAACTTTTAGTTTGGGTTTTTCAGAACTGTTTTTTTGTAGGATCTGGATGACTTTGATCCAAAAAAACAGGATTAAACTGATCCCATCAGAAGGGTGGATTCATTCAGTGTGAATTTCATGCCCAAAATGTAATGAAAACTTAATAAAATTATCAAATAATACTATATTTTGATCATGCAGTATCTTACAGGATGTCCTATTTAACGTTTAATTGTTCATCCGTCAGGCTACAGTGAGTGGCTTTAACGTATTCAGCCTTTCAGTATAGGCTTACAGCAAAGTAGAAAGATTTTGGCTTCATAAAATAATCCCCCAAACAGCTGTCATTGACCAAAAACAAAACATTTTATTCTGTCACTAATTGATATATATTCATCCCAATGGAAAATATGTATTGTTTGAATATTTATCACTGATGCATGCAATGATTAGAGAATAACAAAAAAAATATGCAAAGAATGGCAATGACTGATTTTTGAAATCGCTTTCAACAATTGCAAAAAGAGACTGAAAGGGCAGAAGCACAGCTTCATCTGGCAGAGGAACAACTGGCTCGGACCCAACTGCAGCAAACCAAGACCAGACTTGAGATCTGGCTCCTAAAGGCTAAGCTCAGGCAAGCTGCTCCCTCCACATCAGATGAGGAAGTCTGAAATTATTGTGGAGGTTTTGATATTGTCTTTTATTTGTAATTTAATACATCTAAATTTCAAACCTGTTACAAATATCCTCAATGTAACGTGTTTGTGTTGTCAGATTTCATTTCAAACAGAAATAAAGTAATATTTTTCCCCACACTGGCTATTCTACTTGTCGCTCTTTACATATCTATAGTTCTACATTGTGATTTTTTACCCTGTTTGAGCACTGGTAATCCAGATTTAGTGATCCTGAAAAGTTCCTATCCAGATCAAATTGATCCAATCCGATGTTGCTTTAAAAAACTGACTCAAAACGTAAGCTGGATTACGTGATCATGGATCGCAAAAACAGGATTACTAAATCCGGATCAATTTTATCTGGATTAAACCTTTTGAAAAACCTGGCCCTGAACATCAATCTAACTATTAGCTTCAAATGTAAGGGATATAAATAATTTGACTGACTGGCAAACATTTTATTATATATATGAACAATTCCATGCAAATGTCAACCTTGCCATAAAAATAAAGTTTTGGCCAAAATAGCAAAACCATTTCTGTGTTGTGTGAGCGATTATTTTACAGTGCTTTAAAAATACTCAAAATTGTCTCTGTTAATGTTTAAACTTTTATATTTGGTTTACCAAATTCACACAAGTGGCAATTTCACATCCATGACAGAGAGACGTCACATCTGTAACAGAGCTGTATCCTCATAAATGCAAAAAATGTCAAATAAAATAAAAACAATCGTTTTTGTTTTATAGTAAGTGACTCATGTCCTTTTGATTGATATTTTTTTTGATTGAGCAGTTTAATTCACAGAATTACTACAAAGTATGTTGTGTACTGTAAACTCCATAACACATTTATTTTCCTCATTTAAAATATAAAAATGTTTACAGATTGATATTTTTTTGCTTCTATAACTCTGTGGTTAGCTGTTTTGAAAAATATAAACAGATGATTCCATATAATGCTTACATATACTTTTTATGTAAATGTATGTTTTTAATTTTTACTGCAAATGTCACATCCATATTGCTGGAATTGCTCATTTATATATATATATATATATATATATATATATATATATATATATATATATATATATATATATATATATAGAGAGAGAGAGAGAGAGAGAGAGAGAGAGAGAGAGAGAGAGAGAGAGAGAGAGAGATTTTTTTTCCTTCCTAAAAAAATACACAATCAATTATATTACTATAATTTAATAGTTATATAAAATAGAATAATATAATTTCTTTTTATAAAAATGTAGTATTTAAATACAAAAAGAGCGTTTACATAAAGTTTTTTTTTTTTTTTTTTACAAATCATCAGCTAATAATTCAAGCTCATTTTACTATCAATTACACCATTAGGGTAAAATTTGGTCATTTTAAGTAGATAAACATTCAGTTTAATGTTCAGTTTCTTCTCCATTATTACCTCGTATGACTTTTATCATATTAAATGCTTTATTATGGAGTTAACGTGTAATTACAACATGTTACTTTTAAATGTAGCGTCATTTACGTTAAATAGGCTTTATTACGCTCTACAGCACAGACTGACTTAAGCAGCTTCACAATAATACACAGGAAAATAACAGCACATGTTGCAAAGACAAATTCATATGTTTATAACATAAATTTGATGTGAATATACGGTATAAAAGAAGAAAGATGAAGGCGCTCATCCTCCACTTCTGTTGTGTCACGATCTGCTGCATCATTCGCCGACTTTTATTCGTCTACGGCCTGATAAACGCGTTATTCCACACCGTAAATTAGCATTATGTCATTATTAATATGATTATGAATACTTCTCACCCCTGTGCTGACTTCTCTCTGCGTCCAATCCGGACATAAATCATTATAATTATTTAAAGTTGAAGCCATAGCTGGAAACTGCAACGTCGCGGCCATCTTGCATGAACTACTCACTGAAGGACCCCACTGTAGAAGTCCGCATATGTGCCTGTGTTAAGCATCCACAGCCGCCTGACAGACAATAAAACCCAGGACTAAAGAATTACATTCGAAATTTTAAAGCAATGAAATACGCGGATTTTTATGCATTCATGTTCATTTGAAGCACATTACATGGGTTTATTGTCTCCTGGGATTTTTTTTTATCTCGCATCAGGCAGCTGACCCGTCAGTCTCAGGCAGACAGCCCTGCGGAAGGTAAATAATAAAATCTTTTAACATTCCCTTTAATAAACAGCATATTAACATAACACACATATTCGAAACCGTGTTGGGTGTAGTTCACGGATGGTGTGTTATCCTGATGATCTAAGTGTGTGTGTGTGTGTGTGTGTGTTGTTTCTGCTAGATATCGCTGATGTATTTTATCATCATTTATTATTATTGACATGAACTGATCTGTCATTTCTCTCAGATGACTGTTCATAACTTGTATATATTTGATCGCAATGGCACCTGCCTTCACTACAGCGAGTGGAACCGCAAGAAACAGGCCGGAATCTCCAAAGAAGAGGTACTGAATGATTACAGAAAATAGATGTTTGTTAATGTTTCATCTTCTTTTTCCAGTCTTTCTGGAATAGTTTCTGTAATCCACGTATTTAATTGTGGTGTTTTTCCTGTTTGATTTCATGCATGATGTGAAATCATTGTAATAATAATAACCCCTTCGGTAGACACATGCTGATCTTCAGTAATTTAGTGCAGGGGTTTTCAAACTTTTTAATCTCAGGGACCCCCAAATAAGATGATTTCTTGCAGGGGACCCCTTTGCCTAAAGTTTAAAAGCACTTATACATTTCAAGTATAAATATGTCAACTAAAATTCTGTTTAACTTAAAGACACCAGTTCGTATTTCACAGGCATGCGAAATGGTATTGTTTTTAAAACTATTTATTTTATTAGCTGGCAACTCACTATAGCCAAAAAGTATTCTCAATTTTTTTTTTCATTAAATACAATTAAATATTTACATTAACTGAAAAAGATAGCTTTTCTAAATGAGGCAGTGGTAGATGAAAAGTTAAACCTTGATATTTGTAACATTTGTAGTTTCTGTAGTCTTGTTTTTATGGAAAACTGCTAAATGTTTAAGTTGAACGTATGCGTCTGCTTACTGTGTTGTCTGACAAAGGCACACAATCTACCTTTCGTGCCGCTTCCTCTCCAAATAACTCTTTGACGATGTCTTTGGTAGCTGGTAATAACAATGCTTCGCCAACTGTGTGCGGCTTCTTAGCACGCGCCATGTGGAGTGATGCCAAATATAACATTTTAAACACCTCACTGGGGTTAATGCTTGCTGCTGAAAATGCTAGCCTGCCAGGCCAAACACAGCTCCTGCTGTTTGAAATTGTCGATTTGTCTGCCTCATTGGGATGTTTCTGCTGTAGATGGCGCTTGAGCTTGGATGATTTCATGCATTCATTGAAGAGAATCGCTTGACAAAGAACACACTGAGGTATATCGACTCCCTGCTTTAACATGCAGGTAAAACCAAGCGCAATGTAAGAGTTGTTATATTTTTTGGTTTTTGCCCTAACCCTCGCCAAGTCAGGTTTGCATGAACTGCTTGCGGGAGCGGGATTCTTTAAAAATCTTTCCATCATCTGTACCGCACCTATAGCCGCTAATTGTATGCAAAACCTTAAAGAGGGCAAAGGATTTTGGGATAAAAACATTACTATTAAGTATCTACTTATATAAATCAAAAAACTATATATAGATTAATAATTTATAGTCATTAATAAATTTAGGATTGGAAAAAATATCTCATAAAAATCATTTTCAAGTTTTTCGCAGGCCCCCTAGCACTCTCTTGCAGCCCACCAGTTTGAAAACCCCTGATTTAGTGTAGACTTTAATAATGATCATGCAAAATACTGTGAGTAATTCTTTATTATTGAAACATTTAGAGTGTTTTTTTTAAGAATATTCAGATTGTTGTGTTTCATTAGTTGTTCATCAGAGCACAGTTGATTTATTTTAAAACAACATTTCTATAGACATTGTTGATGATGATCATGGTGATGATGTGTGTTTTGTCAGGAGTTTAAGCTGATGTACGGGATGCTGTTCTCCATCCGCTCTTTCGTCAGTAAGATGAGTCCACTGGACATGTATCCTTCCTCTCGTTAACCAGTCAACATGCATGTTTGTCCGTCAGGATCTGTGTAATTCCTTCACTCAGCGTATCAGGAAAGACGGATTCCTGTCGTTCCAGACCAGCCGCTATAAACTGCATTATTATGAAACTCCCACAGGAATCAGGCTGGTGATGAACACAGACCTCAGTGTGCCGAACTGCAGAGAAACCCTGCAGCAGATCTACAGCACTGTAAGACTCCGCTCTACTCTAATGATCGTAGTCATGGTCTTCTACTGTAGCAACCTATTACTGTACTCTAGTACGCTTGTCTTGTACTGTAATATTTACTGTACATTAGTATTCAGTGTACTCTGGTCTTGTATAGTAACTATGGTAAATGATAGTGTACTTGGTGTAGTTTAGTACTCTGGTCTTGTATAATAACTATGGTAAATGATAGTGTACTTGGTGTAGTTTAGTACTCTGGTCTTGTATAGTAACTATGGTAAATTAGTACTCTGGTCTTGTATAGTAACTATGGTAAATGATAGTGTACTTGCTGTAGTTTAGTACTCTGGTCTTGTATAGTAACTATGGTAAATGATAGTGTACTTGGTGTAGTTTAGTACTCTGGTCTTGTATAGTAACTATGGTAAATGATAGTGTACTTGGTGTAGTTTAGTACTCTGGTCTTGTATAATAACTATGGTAAATGATAGTGTACTTGGTGTAGTTTAGTACTCTGGTATTGTATAGTAACTATGGTAAATAATAGTGTACATGGTGTAGTTTAGTACTCTGGTCTTGTATAGTAACTATGGTAAATTAGTACTCTGGTCTTGTATAGTAACTATGGTAAATAATAGTGTACATGGTGTAGTTTAGTACTCTGGTCTTGTATAGTAACTATGGTAAATTAGTACTCTGGTCTTGTATAGTAACTATGGTAAATGATAGTGTACTTGGTGTAGTTTAGTACTCTGGTCTTGTATAATAACTATAGTAAATTATAGTGTACTTGGTGTAGTTTAGTACTCTGGTCTTGTATAGTAACTATGGTAAATGATAGTGTACTTGGTGTAGTTTAGTACTCTGGTCTTGTATAGTAACTATGGTAAATGATAGTGTACTTGGTGTAGTTTAGTACTCTGGTCTTGTATAGTAACTATGGTAAATTAGTACTCTGGTCTTGTATAGTAACTATGGTAAGTAATAGTGTACATGGTGTAGTTTAGTACTCTGGTCTTGTATAGTAACTATGGTAAATGATAGTGTACTTGGTGTAGTTTAGTACTCTGGTCTTGTATAGTAACTATGGTAAATGATAGTGTACTTGCTGTAGTTTAGTACTCTGGTCTTGTATAGTAACTATGGTAAATGATAGTGTACTTGCTGTAGTTTAGTACTCTGGTCTTGTATAGTAACTATGGTAAATGATAGTGTACTTGCTGTAGTTTAGTACTCTGGTCTTGTATAGTAACTATGGTAAATGATAGTGTACTTGGTGTAGTTTAGTACTCTGGTCTTGTATAGTAACTATGGTAAATGATAGTGTACTTGGTGTAGTTTAGTACTCTGGTCTTGTATAGTAACTATGGTAAATGATAGTGTACTTGCTGTAGTTTAGTACTCTGGTCTTGTATAGTAACTATGGTAAATTATTGTGTACTTGGTGTAGTCTAGTACTCTGGTCTTGTATAGTAACTATGGTAAATTATTGTGTACTTGGTGTAGTCTAGTTCTCTGGTCTTGTATAGTAACTATGGTAAATGTTAGTGTACTCTAGTACTCAGTGTAGTCTAGTATTCTGGTCTTGTATAGTAACTATGGTAAATGATAGTGTACTGTACTCTAGTACTCTTTATTGTATAGTAACTAGTAACTGATAGTGTAGTCTAGTACTCAGTGTAGTTTAGTACTCAGGTATTCTGCTCTTGTACTACAGTAACTGTGATGCTGTACTCTGGCACTCTACTATAGTAACTGTTCCTCCTCTTCTGTCTGCTGTAGTTGTATGTGGATTTGATCGTGAAGAACCCGCTGTGTGTTCTGGGTGAGTCTCTGCAGAGTGAACTCTTCAACTCTAAGCTGGACTCCTTCATCCGAGCGCTACCGTTCTTCAGTGTGCGCGCAGCATGAGCCCACATCCCTTTATCCCTTCATCATCACAATAAAACACCACCAGCTTCTGTTCGCATTCACTCTGTTCCCCAATCACTGCTCAGTTCGTACTTGTGTTGAATTTAAATAAATAACTCTTTTTATGACGTTACTTTCCTTTTTTGTGTGTCTCTGTGTGTGTGTGTGTGTGGTTGAGTCAGTGCTCATGCACAATATGAGTATGAAGCAAGATCAGTGTAAAAGTATGTAGTTTATGCTGTATAATTTATGTCCGGGGTGACTCGGTGGCTCAGTGGTTAGCACTGTGGCCTCACAGCAAGAAGGTTGCTAGTTCAAGTCCCAGGTGGGTCAGTTGGTGTTTCTGTGTGGAGTTTGCATGTTCTCCCTGTGTTGACGTAGGTTTCTTCTGGGTGCTCCGGTTTTCCCCACAGTCCAAACACATATGCTATAGGGGAATTGATGAACTGAATTAACAGTAGTGAATGAGTGTGTATGGATGTTTCCCAGTGATGGATTGCAGCTGAAAGGGCATCCGCTGCATAAAAAAAAAACATGCTGGATAAGTTGGTGGTTCATTCTGCTGTGGCGAGCCCGGATTATTAAAGGGACTAAGCCGAAAAGGAAATGAATGAATAAAACTTTGTTACAGTAATCATTCTGCATAAATCTGCAGATTTTTAACAAAATTCTCAGCAGAAATATCAGAAAATGTCCACAGACTCCGTCTGGCCCAAATAATAACCCACATTATAACCTCAACCATATACTAATTACATTAGTTATTATTACTCACTAGTTATATTAGTCACACTGTAACAACACCTAAAAATAAAGCATATCCAAAAAAAAAAAAAAATCCAAAATCCAAACAACATTAGTGGGGCAATTGCTGGACTGGGATTAGGACAGAAAGCAGAGATTGGGTTTGAAGAATCTAACTAAGGATCTGAGAGTCCTTGAAGCAAACTCATCTGTGTTGTTTCAAGAAAGCAACCATTCATTTGGGTTGTGTTTCATTTTCAGTGATTTTTATTTATTTATTCTTCATTTAGTTATTTTATTGAATTATGTGATCATTAGTCATTTATAATTATCATTCATTTTCTTTTCGGCTTAGTCCCTTTATTTATTAGGGGGTGCCACAGAGGAATGAACCGCCAACTTATCCAGCACGTTTTACACAGCGGATGCCCTTCCAACCACAGCCCAACACAAGGAAACACCCACACAGTCTTGCACACACACTACGGCCATTGAGCTTATTCAAGCCCCCTACAGTGCATGTCGTCGGACTGTGGGGGAAACCAGAACACCTGGAGGAAACCCACACCAACAAGGGGAGAACATGCAAACTCCACAAAGAAATGCCGACTGACCCAGCTGGGACTCAAACCAGCGACTTTCTCGCTGAGGCGATTGTGCTACCCACTACGCAACTATGATTATGAACTCTGCTCTTTATCATCAATACTTCACCTCCTGCTTCTGCTGCTCTGGTTTTCTCAGTCAATTCTATATTGATAGGACACTGTTTATTCAGCTGCATACTGCTTAACAGGTTTGGGTTTTGGAAAGTTTGCTGATTTGTCCAGATACCTGGAGGAACTGACATTTTCTGCCAAGATCTGGCATGGAGATGGTGATCTAACAGGCTGGAGATAAGAGTTTATGATGCTGTTAGTGTAACACTTCCCACCCAGAGTGCAGTAATGAACTCACAGTGGGCAGTTGCACATTTAAGATGATTGTTTTATCCTGAAAAGTATGAATGAATTGTTTTAGTAGCGGCACTTGTGCTATGCATGCATTAATTCTCACTATCTTATTCTCTCGAGATTTTTATGCATCAAACAGTAGTATTTTTAACATTGCATCAGTATCATGTATTCAGTACACTATTACTTTTTACACTATTACTATATTACTTTGAACAACGACTTAATAAACAACATATGGTTTCATGTGGACACGTTACACGTGCAAACTTCTAAATCAATGCATAGCATGGTGAATTTAAAAAAAAAAAAACACATGCTTCACTCACTTCACACATGCATAACCATACAAAACATTAACACACTTCAACACAATTCTTTCTTGTTTCCCACCAGCTTACCTGAAAAAACCTGAATTAATTATTTTAGTAGCAGCTGTGTTTTGCATGCATCGACTCTCACTATCTTATTCTCGAGATTTAGTGAGTTCCGTTTTGCACCTCACCACACTACTCTACCGCCACCTGCTGGCTTAATCTAAAACTGCGCTCACTTTATCACAATATCTAGTCAGAAGCAATCTGGTGCTAAATCCTTATTCACATTTCCTTTGTGATGCAATATAATTTACTCATTGTGTTACATTAGCACTGCAAGAACACAATTTTGTTTAATGAATATAATGCATTACTCATGAACATGCTGCATCAAAAAAAATTCAGATAAAGCTGCAGTCACACTGGACTTGTCTTCCTGTAGGCACACAAATGCGTCAGATCGGAAACAAGGTCATGCATCAAGTTTCAAGCTTGGTGAACTATGACCTGCGTGAGACCAATCGAGGATCAAAACATGCGTTTTTGGACAGAAATTTAAAACATGGAGCAACGTGAAAACAGCACCAATTAATCCTATTTGTCATACAGACAATATTTAAACTGGTTTCAAATTGAAACACATGATAAATCACACAGCATGAGACCAAAAGTGCACACTGATTTTAAATGTATTAGGACTCGAATTAGTGTAACATCAAAATTGAGCCTTTTGTTCAGAGATTATTTTATTAATCTTTCAGTATATTTGACCATGTCAATGCCAAATTGAAGAAAAACTAAGGTGTGTTTTGTTTTAAATTTGCTGTACAGATAGATTTAGTCAAGGATAAAATTTGTATTTTGATTTCTCCAGACAGTAGTCAGTATAACACACAAGTCATCAGTCTGACTTTGAACAAGGCAATACTAGCCAGTGAAACATCCGACTTTGCACACACGCAACTTGAGCAACGACCCTACAGCCAAGTCAGGTTCTGAGCACACCTCATTTGAGCTGAAAACCCATTTTATTAATGCTGTAATTGCAATTTTGCTTGCAAAAAGCTTTACTTGTAATAGAGAACTTTAAATCTCAAACAGGTGCTTAAAACATTAAGTTGTAGTTCCAGAAATTTGCTTTAGCAAGAGCTCGGAGAGCAAAAGTAAACAAGGCACACATCCAAACCTATTTATATAAACCAATTAAAATAAATAAAGTTCCAAACAAATCCAGAAAGTAGACTGGTTTATTAAAAACAAAAAGTTTAGAAACGTACACCCTTAAACGCACAGCCTGGTTTACGCAAACATGCAATTAGCTTCTGAGTGGATTGTTCACCAGGGTAAAGACGTGACTTCAACCTCTTCAAAACCATATTGGAATGTTGAGAGCTAATCTGACCCGGACGGGAAACTGACATAGGCCTGACATCCGTACTGGGAGAAGGCTGAATGCTCGATAAAGACAAGGGACTAGGGAGAGGAAGTTTCTCAGCTGTGACAGAGCTCAACACGGGAGGACTAGATACAGTCACTTTCTTAGCCTGAGCATGTGGATGACTGGCTCCAACAGATGTAGAATAAGTTACAGTCACCTTCTGAGTGGGGACAGGACCAACCTCCACAGATAAAGAACCAGTTTCAGTCACCTTCTGAGTGGGGACAGGACCAACCTCCACAGATACAGAGCCAGTTTCAGTCACCTTCTGAGTGGGGACTGTTCCAAACTCCACAGGTACAGATTCAGTTATCTTTGCAGTAGGGAGAAGGCTGGATATGACAAACAGTGCACCAGAAGAGTTTTTCTCAGTGGGGACAGGACTGGATGCCACAGATTCAGAACCAGTCTCTATCTTCTGAGTGGGTACAGGACCAATCTCCACAGATACAGAACCAGTTTCAGTCACCTTCTGAGTAGGGACGGCACCAACCTCCACAGATAGAGAAACAGTGTCAGTCACCTTCTGAGTAGGGACGGGACCAATCTCCACAGATAGAGAACCAGTTTCAGTCACCTTCTGAGTAGGGACGGTACCAATCTCCACAGATAGAGAACCAGTTTCAGTCACCTTCTGAGTGGGGACAGGACCAACCTCCACAGATAGAGAACCAGTTTCAGTCACCTTCTGAGTGGGGATGGCACCAACCTCCACAGATATAGAACCAGTGTCAGTCACCTTCTGAGTAGGGACGGGACCAACCTCCACAGATAGAGAACCAGTTTCAGTCACCTTCTGAGTGGGGACAGGACCAACCTCCACAGATACAGAACCAGTGTCAGTCACCTTCTGAGTGGGTACAGGACCAACCTCCACAGATACAGAACCAGTTTCAGTCACCTTCTGAGTGGGTACAGGACCAACCTCCACAGATACAGAACCAGTTTCAGTCACCTTCTGTGTGGGGAAAGAACCAACCTCCACAGATACAGAACCAGTCTCGGTTATCTTCTCAGTGGGTACAGGAACAACCTCCACAGATACAGAACCAGTTTCAGTCACCTTCTGCGTGGGGAAAGAACCAACCTCCACAGATACAGAACCAGTCTCGGTTATCTTCTCAGTGGGTACAGGAACAACCTCCACAGATACAGAACCAGTCTCAGTCAGCTTCTGAGTGGGGACAGGACCAACCTCCACAGATACAGAACCAGTTTCAGTCACCTTCTGAGTGGGGACGGGACCAATCTCCACAGATAGAGAACCAGTTTCAGTCACCTTCTGAGTAGGGACGGGACCAATCTCCACAGATAGAGAACCAGTTTCAGTCACCTTCTGAGTGGGGATGGCACCAACCTCCACAGATATAGAACCAGTGTCAGTCACCTTCTGAGTAGGGACGGGACCAACCTCCACAGATAGAGAACCAGTTTCAGTCACCTTCTGAGTGGGTACAGGACCAACCTCCACAGATACAGAACCAGTTTCAGTCACCTTCTGAGTAGGGACGGTACCAATCTCCACAGATAGAGAACCAGTTTCAGTCACCTTCTGAGTGGGGACAGGACCAACCTCCACAGATAGAGAACCAGTTTCAGTCACCTTCTGAGTGGGGATGGCACCAACCTCCACAGATATAGAACCAGTGTCAGTCACCTTCTGAGTAGGGACGGGACCAAC